CTATCTATCTATCTATCTATCTATCTATCTATCTATCTATCTATCTAATCTATCTACCATACCTACCATCTAGGCATATCTGCATTCCTATCAATTGATTGAAGGATAAAAGGCATTCTTTCAGTTTTTCAAAGGGTTAGATATTAGTTTCCCAAATAATTGATTCAGGCCCTCTTAATCACAACTTTCCTTCAAAAGGAAGTCTCCTTTCTTTTTTTCTGTCTTTTTTTCTATCATGAAATAATAGAGGCCATTGTCTACTTGTGAGCTGAGATGTGCAACTGAAAAAGCCAGGCTGATAAATTGCAGGGACAGTTATATTATTCAACTCAGCGATGTATTTTGTTTTTATGGCATACGGCATGGTTTCATTTACTCCCTTCATGTACTTCTCAGCATTCTTTGGACAATATGGCAGTTCCATTGTATACTTGTTTAAATTGTTTAAAGGGAGGATGAAAAACAACAGCTGTAACTCTATTTCAGAGTTTCTTCACCTCAGCAGTTTTAAGAAGTGTGGACTTCAACTCCCAGTATTCCCCAGCCAGCCAGCCAGTCTGCCTGGGGTATACTAGGAGTTGAAGTCCACACAACTTAAAGCTGTTGAGGGTGGGAAACTCCTACTCTATTTGACTGAGTGCACAATATGGCAACCTGGTTTTGGTCTCTTCCCAATACAAGTTGGGAAAACCAGAAAGGCATCCGGGTTCCTCATTATCCCCAGCAATTGGAAGACTGAGAGATATGGCAACCATGAATCTCATTGAGCAAGTGATCATTTCTGTAGGTAGACCCATCAGGAAAAGGTCATCCATTGAGCCTATGAAGCTGAAGAGGATTTTACCACAGCTCTCTGAACCTCACTGAAGATCTGAGGAAACAGAATCTTGGCCTCCATTCTCTTCACCTCATAAAGAGTTGATAGAACCAACCATTCCCTCAAAGGCAAGAGCGGGATGACATCACAAATGCCATGAGGTCATTGTACAAATGACAAGAATTTTGGAATTGATATAATTTGTAGAATTGACCTACATGATGTCATTGTGGCTTCTAATGCATGCCAAGGCTGGCAGTCTCAGATCAACAGGCAATATCTTACCATCTGAGGAAAAATTGTGGCTTTTTTTATATAGTCAAGCCCTTATTCTGTTCCAAAATTAACCCCAAAGGCCAAAAGGAAAGAAAACCATAATAAATAACAAAACAAACTATGGTTTAGGTTTTTCCCTCTTCTCCGGTAAGCCTCAAGTATGGCCAATTACAGCTAGCTATTTCACATAAGCCTGCTGTGTACGTGTCTATGCAATATTTTACAAAATGTGGAGAAAGGCTAGAAGAAATATTGTTTTAGGACTTTCAACCATTGTTTCTGAAAAACTAGAAAGAGCGCTTAGAAATAAAATTAAGATAACTTCAAAACAAGAAAATATGAGTGCTGAATAGAAGGGGATTCCAAACATATTCTAACTCATACCTGCCTCAAACAGGATACCTCTTCCATAGGAGGTTTGACCCTACCAGAATCAATGAGTCCTTTCAAATCTAAGGCCTCCTTCTCAAGACTTTTTTTTTTCTGAGGATAGATAGTTCTTTTAGGGTTACGCAACACAGAGTTCACCGGTAGCTTTGTCAGCAAAGAATCATCATTATGCCAAGAACAGAAATTCCAGAGTGAACGAAGTTACACAATCATCTAACTTAGTTTCCGAGATCAGACGAGATCAGGCGTTTTCAAGGTAGAAAGCTCAACTGGGAAAATCATTTCAATGACCCACTTTAGAGTTATCTAATTCGGCTTCCTGTCCAGAACTTACTTCTGGTGTGATGTATCCGTATCCCGACTTCCAAAAGGATGATCTTTGCACAGTTCTAGAATGAGCTTTCCACCTGGGTGATCTCACCACACTGTTTTGGTTTGATTCTTTCTGGCTATGTTTGTGGCTTATTGGAAACCACAGAAAACCTGGTCTTTCTTTGAACTGCTGCAGCTGTGGGAAGCCTGTGGGTGACCTGCTTCCTCGTTTGTAAGAGCTCTAGCTGCTCCCTGGCCCTCAGCCTCCAGACATCCTAACAGGTCTTTCAAGGAGAGAGGCGGCAGCCTGATGGATCGCTTCTTCCCAATGATAGGATTTCTTCCTCTTATTTACTCATTTGTTTATTTGCGTTTGGGCAGACAAATATGACATGAGTAAAGACATGGACGAAGAGGGCAAGCAGAATAACAGAAGAGTTGAAAGGGACTTTGGAGGTCTTCTAGTCCAACCTCCTGTTCAAGTAGGACACCTTCTACAATTCCGGACAAATGGTTGTTCAATCTCATCTTGAAAACCTCCAGTGATTGAGCTCCCACAATTTCAGAAGGCGGCAAGACATTCCACTGGTTGATTGTTCTCACTGTCAGAAAGTTTCTTAGTGCTAGGTTGGTTCTCTCTTTGCTCAATTTCCATCCATTGCTTCTTGTCCTGTCTTCAGGTGTTTTGGAAGCAGATGTTTCAGGTTGACCTTCTTTGTGGCAGCTCCTTAGACCACTGCTATCATGTCACCTCTAGTCCTTCTTTTCATTAAACTAGACATACTCAATTCCTGCAATTGTTTTTCAAAAGTTTTAGCCTCAGATCCCCTAATCATTGCTCTTCTCTGCACTCTTTCTAGAGCCTCAACAACTTTTTTACATTGTGGTGACCAAAACGGGATGTAGTATTCCAAGTGTGGTCTTACCAAGGCATGATAAAGTGGTATTACCACTTCACATGATCTTGATTCTATCCCTCTGTTTATACAGCCTAGGACTGTGTTAGCTTTTTTGGCAGCTGCAGCACACGGCTGGCTCATATTCAAGTGATCATCCACTAGGACTCCAAGATCCCTCTCTCAGTTACACCTATTGAGCCAAGCGCTGCCTCTTCTATACCTGCACATTTGGTTTTTCTTGCCTAAATATAGAACATTTTCCCCTTTGTGTGAAGGGTTAGGGTGAGGAGATTTTTTGAACTTCCAGCACTGAGGTAGGAGAGCAACATTTGTGCCTGGTTTTAGCATGTTAAGATCTGTGGATTGTCATTCAATGCGTCTTTCAAAGAATAAGGGAGTGGGGGAAAATGGGGTGCACAGAAGTGTCCTGCTAAATTAGCTTTAATTTGGATGACATGAATCAATCCATTATTCTATTAATGAAAGCTACTTCATTCTGTTTAAAAAAATTCTGAAGAAGCAGCTGTAGAAAGTTAGCACCCTCACCTAGAAGAATGAATATTCTTTAATATTTTGAGAAATATTAAAAAGGCAGAATGTTATATTTCCCTAGATGAGAAATGGAGGAACATGCCCTCACCAAAAATCCAACAAAGGTAGGATTAGTCCTCAGCTACACTAGGAATTGCCCAAAGCCTCTTCATTGCATCGTCTCAATTGCACCACCCCCAGCAGTTCAAACTTCAACCAAACTTAGCTCAGACAAACACCTAGGATTTGTACATGGCCCCATAGGAGTCTGACAACAGCCAATAGGATAACATGTTCTTGCCCAGGAACAGGAAGTTCAAGGGCAAAGCCCAAGAGAAGGTATAAATACCTCCTCGCACTCTCAATTCCATGTGGTCAGCTGCACCAGAGCTACAAACATGTGGTTCTCTGTTCATCAATAAATGGACGCTCTTTCCAATCAGCTTCCAGCCTCCATTTTGTCTCCAGTGCCTTTCTCCTGGCTTGGAATTGAACCAGATGGCTATCTCTTCCAACAAAGCAACAACAAGCGAACTGAGAATGCAGTTGGACACACACGGTGCCGTGTTCCTCAGGTGCTCACACAGGTGGAAACATTCGTATGAGACTCCGTTTGGGCGGGGTCACCAGAATTAGTGAAATCGCCTACCCTGGATGAACAGGAGTGGAGAATGAAAGAGCTGAGAAGGAGATGCACGAGAAAAACAGGGCAGGAGAGGCTATAATGAAAAAGCAGAGACCTGCAGATTAAGGCAAAGAAGTAGGAGCAGGTGGAGATGCCTGGGAAGAAGAGCCAAAAGCATTCAAAACCAGATGAGCCATCAAGTGGAGGGGAGAAATAGAATATTATTTTCCAGGTTGGATTGGGGAGATGCCCAGGAGGAGGGGGGAAAAAACGCAGGGAGAGTCCTTTGTGGGTTAAGCATCTACTGTCAAATTACTAATATCCGAAATGCAGGTTTAGATGCTAACATCAGGGCCTGGCAGCTTGCAAATTCATTGTGCAAAGTAGACCACGAAAGAAACGGAGCCCTGAGTTTTCTTTAGGGGTAATTTCACTTGTGCAGTGTGATTAGCCTACGACCAAATCAATCAGCCATTGAAAACATTTCTCTGCTTCCTTTAGAGGCTTCATTTGGATGTGATCTTGCGATCAGATCACAGATGGTCTTTTTCAAGATAAGATAAGATAAGATAAGATAAGATAAGATAAGATAAGATAA